CATCCTGGGCAAACGCAGCTACGAGCAGCACAACGGTTTGGATGGTAAGCCATCGTCAGGTTTCTGTGCTGCCCACACAACACACTCTCTTCCTACTCTTCTTGCGAAGTCTCATTCACTTGTCTTAAACTCTCCCACTCGTATCTTCACCAACCCCCATACAGGAAAACACACACACTACTTTAATCTCTGAATGGCTTTCAGGGTTGTCATGGTAACGGATCAGCAGTGACTCACATGGATCATTAGTCCTGCGGGAGGTCAGACCCCAAAACACAGACTAAAGGCACCGTAACCGTCGATTCAAAAGGAGGGCTTCCCGAGCACGTGGCACGGATGTTAGGAACACTTATGTATGCTCCCCTGTCACATTGTGCTTCATTACCCTCTTGTCTCTATGAAGGCTTTGGAGGGAAACCAATGTTCAGCGGTTATATAAATTCCTGATGAGCTTGGCACCATTCTGTCCAAAGCAGCAAATCCTTTTTCTTCACCCCCATGCTGCTTTTTCAGATTGCTTTTACATTTGGGGTCTTAATGCACTTATTGATGTGGTTGTGATAAATGGCACATGCTCGTTTCCATGTTGCTGTCCTCAAACTTGGTCCTTGGTGGTGTGAGCCACATGTATTATGGGAAGGATGGGGTTAGCAGAAGAGTGCATGTAGTACCTCTTCGAACCAGTAGGGTGACATGAGTCTTCAGGGTGAACAGCTCATGAAACTATAGAATGGACAGTGTCTGGAGTCTCCGTGACGGTACCTTTTTTTCAAAACCTGGTAGGTTGCTCTGATGCATACTTCCTGCATGGGCAGCTGTCTTCTAAGATAGCATCCTAACTGAAATGCAGTATCATATGTGACTGTTTTTGTGTGCTCTTCATAGGCAGCAGCTCCATGTGCCACACAAAAAGCTCTCTTTATTTAAGCACACTAGAGATTCACCTTCTATGTTATGTTATGTTATGTTATTAGGATACATCTCCTCTATCACAGTTAATATTTACAAATGCCAAATATTTAATATACAATACACAACACAAATGTATGTTCATATTATACAGATTATTTTAATTTTATGTAAATAAACAATATTTTGACAATTAGTTGCAAATACTTTTTTATAAATATGTATAGAGGTATTTATCTCCTCTTATCACAAACCACATTTATATTTATATAAATAAAAATTGTATGTATTTATTTAGACAGTTAGTTGCAAATACCTTTTACCAACATATATAAAGATGAATTTATCTCCTCCACAAGTAATATTTAGAAATGCACACCATATTTAATATGCTGTACACAATACATATTTATGTACATGTTATAGTATATATTCCCTCCTGATGGAATGACCTGCCCAACTCAATCAGAGCTGCTGAGTCCTTAGCCATCTTCAAGAATCGGCTAAAGACTCTTCCATCTTTATTTGACCCTCTATTCTATTCTCTCTATCACTCTCTATTCTAATTCTATTCTTTAAAAAAACTTGCCCCTTTTAACCTTGCACTCTATTCATTTACTAACTGCTTGTTTTCTTAAAAAAAAACAACACAAATGTATGTTCATATTATACAGATTATTTTAATTTTATGTAAATAAACAATATTTTGACAATTAGTTGCAAATACTTTTTTATAAATATGTATAGAGGTATTTATCTCCTCTTATCACAAACCACATTTATATTTATATAAATAAAAATTGTATGTATTTATTTAGACAGTTAGTTGCAAATACCTTTTACCAACATATATAAAGATGAATTTATCTCCTCCACAAGTAATATTTAGAAATGCACACCATATTTAATATGCTGTACACAATACATATTTATGTACATGTTATAGTATATATTCCCTCCTGATGGAATGACCTGCCCAACTCAATCAGAGCTGCTGAGTCCTTAGCCATCTTCAAGAATCGGCTAAAGACTCTTCCATCTTTATTTGACCCTCTATTCTATTCTCTCTATCACTCTCTATTCTAATTCTATTCTTTAAAAAAACTTGCCCCTTTTAACCTTGCACTCTATTCATTTACTAACTGCTTGTTTTCTTAAAAAAAAAAAACTAGCACTTGCTTCTCTAATCTTTTTGTATTCTATCTATTTTTCTTTTCATTTATTATACAATTAACAAAAAGCAAAAAATGCCTGTAACACTAGCTTGCTCTTCTTTTTCTATTCTATCCGTTTTCTTTTTATTATATAATTTAAAAAAAATTCTTGCTACATGTACTGCGTTAAGCTGACGGAGACTTGTTATAGCACTTGCATATCATTGCTGTTTTGTTGATTTTGATTGCCTCCATTGTCCTCATTTGTCCTCAAGTCGTTTTGGATAAAAGCGTCTGCTAAATGACTAAATGTAAATGTATATGTATAGCTTTAGTATTTGCAAATGCACACAATATGTAATATACAGCAGACAATACAAAATACTGTATGTACATGCATTATATGTACAGTTGAGGTCAAAAGTTTAAATCCCCCTTTTCAGAATCTGCAAAATGTTAAAATTTTTACCAAAATTAGAGGGATCATACAAAATGCATGTTATTGTTTATTTAGTACTGACCTGAATAAGATATTTCACATAAAATATGTTTACATGTAGTCCACAAGAGAAAATAATTGTTGAATTTATAAAAATGACCCCATTCAAATGAATTCGTAATACTGTGTTCTTCAGTTCCCACAAATTCTTTGGTTTTCTAGCATTTTTGCATAATTGAACCCTTTCCAACCATGACTGTATGATTTTGAGATCCATCTTTTCACACTGAGGATAACTGAGGGACTCATATGCAACTATTACAGAAGGTTCAAATGCTCACTGATGCACCAGAAGGAAAAACCATGCATTAAGAGCCAGGGGGTGAAAACTTTTGAACAGAATGGAGATGTGTACATTTTTCTTATTTTGCCTAAATATCATATTTTTTTTTATTTAGTACTGCCCTTCAGAGGCTACAAAAGATAGTTACATGTTTCCCAGAAGACAAAATAAGTTAAATTTACCCTGATCTTCAAATTCAAAAAGTTTTCGTATATGTATGTATATATATGTATATGTAAATTGTTAGGTGTAAATGCATTTTACCAACATGTATAGATGGATTTATCTCCTCTCTTTCTCTCTATATTTGTGTCAGGGTCCAAACCCAAAGTTCTGGCTCCTCAGTGGGAAATAATGGCCAAGAGGGTGTCTGAACCAAGCCGAACTCCCTCTGGCCTGCAGGATGAGGTTCATGAGCTGGACTGACTTCTGCTTTGACAACTGACTGCTACACTCTGACCAGATGAGCAGGTACAGCTCTCATGACCATTTCTAATGCATATTTTCTCAACAGGTACATTTAGTAGATATTCTAATAAATTTGAGCTTTAAAAATGCTTTAAAAAACCCTTCCATCAGATGTAAAATATGTATATACACTACTGTTCAAAAGTGACAGTAAAGGCATTTATAAAGTTACATAAGATTTCGGTTTCAAATAAATGCTGTTCTTTTGCACTTTGTTTTCCTCGAAGAATCTTGAAAAAAGAAATTGTTCATGGTTTCCACAAACATTTTAAGCAGCACAACATATTTTTTAACATTAATAATGATTATTACTATATAATAACATAGTAATATGTTTTTTTTATAAAAAAAATACTCTCAAATGTTCGTCTTTCTGGCCCATATAAATTTTTTTTTAAATAATCTAACCCGTCAAACTAGGGCTGTTAATTAATTAAATTTTTAATGTATACATTTAAAACTCAAATTAAACTTAATTTCAATCAAATGTGATTATATTGTTTTTAATACTCTAAATCCAATATATTAAAGCAACAACTGGTGTCTTGTGTTGTACTACAAACTCTGACAGCATCTCTTTAATGCTCAGGTGACTCGAGAGATTTTTTTCAGCTCTCAGTGACGGATGGACCTAAGAAAGGATGTGCGATCAGAAAGCCCTGTCCAGGCGGCCCATTTTTACAGCTGAAGCCATTGAAATGACTGCAACGCCCTGACGTCTCCATGGGTTAAAACAGCCTGTGGCCAATCGCAGGACTGATCTGATTGTACAGGACTGATTATTATTATTTACCATCGGCTGTTACTTCTGTCATTGTAATTATAATTATTACAATTATTATTACTGTTCTTTTTTTTTATCAAGTATACCCATTTTCTTTTTAATGACTTGAGAAAATGTAAGAATCTTGAACGTTTCTTGAAACGACTTGCTCTCAAACCATAATGTAAAGGTGGGACGAACTGTCATTTTTGTCTCTTGCATTGTTTTGTAACATGACAGCTCCGCGCCCACGTGAAGGACTATATGACGTTTCTCTTCGTTTGGATGCTTGTATTCTCCGGTTCTGTTAGTCCGTCCTGCCACAGTGGTTTAAATTATTCCGAAAGACAACAGAACGTTCTTTTTCTACCTTTTTCACGAGTATTACAACTGCTCCTATATGTAATTTCTCTTTTGTGAATATGTAAATGAAAACAGGAGGGAGGCGTTATTGTACAGTGGTGCATTTTGGGCCTTTGGTGGTTATCAAAGCTTGTTGTAATGGATTTGCCATGCACAGCGTATTCTTTGAAATGTCTTTTTGTAAACTCTCTCCTGCATATACGGAGAGGTGATGGGAACTCTGAAAAGGTACTACCCCATTAATACAATGATGCACCTTCTTAAGAATGAGCTTGTATGGGAGTGTGGTGTTTAAGTTATTCCTCACGTATGCACGCAGCAAAAAACTGCGTGCTTCAGGCCAGGGATATGTGATACAACCCAGTTTACTCTGCAGTTGGCTTATCAAATACTGATATCTTTAGGCCAAAGCAGAGCTTCGCACACTCATCACACATTGTCCATTTAAAAAAAAAAAAAAATATTAAAATGAGAAGGATGTATACACATACAACAGACTGTAGTTGTAAACATTTTTGGAAAATCTCAAAAAGTAATGTGTAATTTGACTCTTGCAACCAAAGATACTGAGCTTAGCAGTTTAAAGGATGTTTTTTGGGGGAATTATATTTTTATAGACACGTTTTCATGAACTGCCATAATATCTAAAGCAGAATAGGTAGAATATAGGCTTATTTCATTCCTTACAAAACACACGTCAATTTGGAGTCACTGGTGGTGGAAAAAATTGACACTACGGATATCAGGCGAACTATATTTTAATGTTTTTCATTTGTTATTAAAGGGATATTTAATCCAAAAATAAAAAAGCTGTCGTTTACTCACCCTCATGTTGTTCCAAACCTGTATAACCTGTATTTTTTCTTTGGAACATAAAAGATATTTTAAGAAACATTTCAGTGTTTTTTTGTCCATACAACGCAAGTCAATGGTACCAAACATTTGTTTATCAACATTCTTTAAAATATCCTCTATTGTGTTTCACTGAAATAATCAAGTCATACGGGTTTGGTACGAAATAATTAAAGGGGTCATATGATGTTGCTAAAAAGAACATTATTTTGTGTATTTGGTGTAATGAAATGTGTTTATGCGGTTTAAGGTAAAAAAAACAAACATTATTTTCCACATACTGTACATTATTGTTTCTCCTCTATGCCCCGCCTTTCTGAAACGCGTCGATTTTTACAAAACTCATCGGTCTGAAAAACGAGGTGTGCTCTGATTGGCCAGCTATCCAATGCGTTATGATTGGCCGAATACCTCAAGTGTGTGAAGGAAATGTTACGCCCCTCACCATACTGTGATGATGCCCTGTCAGAC